GTGTGGTGAGGGGATGTGCTGAGGAGAGGAGGAGGCCAGTGCCCCCTGTGTCTCCCAACCAGGGATCTGTGACTGACGGTCGTTCCTCACTTGGGACCAGCACAAGCCACCACCAACTTCAGGCAGGACTCCAGAGAAGGTCTGGATTCTAGAGCCTTGTAAGGAGCGGGTAACCAACCTTTGTATCGGTCCGTTTTCTCCAGAGAAACAGGTTTCTTTTCCAGGAAACCTGCTTTTGCTTGTGAGGCCTTCAGCTGATTGAATGAGGTCTAGCCACATTATGGAGGGTAATCGCCTTTACTTCAAGTCCGCTGATTGTAGAAGTTTACCCCGTCTACAAATACCTTCAGGGCCACGCCTAGATTAGTGTTTGATTGAACCACTGGGTGATGTAGCCCAGCCAAGCTGACACCTGAAAGTAATCATCACACCCTCCAATGTGTCCACTGGTGTGGTTTTGGGGTGCCGGTGCCTTTAGGGGAGCGAGCGTTTGCCCGCCTGTCTGTACGCAGGGCTGGATGCTGGTGTTCAGTAGGGATGGGACTGGATCCTCCCTGTCCTTCTCCACCCCTGCCTGGGCTCAGGTCCCCAGCACCCAAAGCTTAATCAGTGCCACAGTCTCCCAACCGTGGTTTCCAGCCTTTTCTCACACCACACCCAGCAAGACCTTCTTAAAAGCAAATCCAATCAGCTCACTCCCTGTCTCCCTAAACTATTTTGGTTGCCTTTCTCTTAGCACAGTTGACTTCTTTCCAGCCAAGCCACTGCCTGCAGGAACTACCAATACGTCCTCAAAAATCCAGGCCGCCTCATATCTTTGGGTGTTTGCTCATGCCAAGAATGCAACTTCTTTACTTATGCACTCTATCCTGTCTCTCTTTTATCTGTCACCCACTGCCTATGTACACACACTCAGACACACATGCATGTACACACGTGTGAGCACACACTCAAGAATGCCTAGTCTAGTGGTGTATCTAGACCTCCTCTATGAAGTCTTTCCTTGCCTCTCCTCGCCACCTTAGGACTAACCACTCTGTCCTTTTTGTCCTCTCATCCACTCACCCCGTGCACTTGCCCACCCTGGGGTCTGTATAAACTGCCAGCACAGGGCCTGGTACATCTTATTGCCCTGAGTTTTAGCTGTCTTCTGCAGTGATAGTGCATTCCATGGGAGTCTGTCTCCGGCAGGATCACGGGGCCAGATATGCATGCAGTCGGCTCTCAGTCAGTGTCTGTAAATGAACAGTGATGGAAGGAATGAGCAACTAAATGGATACATGCATGCGTGAATACCAAGCTTCCCCCAACCAGCTCATTTCTTTTTTTACCCTTTGAAGCATCCTGATACCTTCTCTTTTTTTTTTTAACTTAAAAAAAAAATTTATATTTTGAGAAAGAGAGAATGTGAGCAGGGGAGGGGCAGAGAGAGAGAGAGGGAGAGAGAGAATCCAAAGCAGGCTCTGAACTGCCAGCGTGGAGCCTGATGTGGGGCTCAGACTCATGAACCATAAGATCATGACCTGAGCCGAAACCAAGAGTTGGACGCTTAACCAACTGAGCCACCCAGGCACCCCAGAAGCTTTCTGATGCCTTCTAATTCCCACTGACAACCTGAGACTCAAAGAGGATGTTTGGATCCCATTAGGTCAGCCAGAATCTCACTCCTTCTCCCCACCGCTGGGCAGAGCAGAGGTGGGGGTAACAAATGCAATAGCTTGTGTGTGTCGAGCACTTACTATGTGCTGAGCTTTACATGGATTATTTTATTGAATACTTACAACTCTGAGGGCAAGTACTTGTATTATCCCCACTGTGCAGATGAGAAAACTGAGACTCAGTGACACAGCTAGTAAGGGGCAGAGCCAGGGCTTGAACTTGGGCACCAAGCCTGATTCCAGGGTCCCCCCTCAACCACCACACTAGACTGTCTCCCAGGGGGACATACAGTTGCATTGAACAATTTGGTGGAAAGCACTTTATTTAAATACAACTCAGACCACAATTTGATTTAAAAAGTATATTTTCACTTTTATTATTTATAGGTAATGTTGATGCATGATGAAGTTTCTTCTAATGCACTTATTTTTTATTGAGATATAATTCACATATCATAAATTCATCCTTTTAAAGTGTACAATTTAGTGGTTTTAGTATATTCATAAAGTTGTACCATCACCAGCCAGTATCTGATTCCAGAACATTTTTATCACCCCCCAAAAGAAACTACATATACCCACTAGCAGTCACTTCCCATTGCCCCTCCCTCCAGCCCCTGGCAATCACTAATCTACTTTTGTCTCCATTAGTTTGTTTATGCTGGACATTTTATATAAATGGAATCAGATATTTTGGGGCCTTCTGTGTCACTTTTTCACTTAGCCTGATGTTTCCAGTTTCGTCCGTGTTGTAGCATGTATCAGTAAATCATTCCTTTCCGTGGCTGGATAATATTCTATTGTACAGTAGGCTGGGTAATGACTCCCAAAGACATCCGTGGCCCATCCCTGGAATGTGATCTTATATGGCAAAAGGGATTTTGCAGATGTGACTAACTGAGGATTTGAGATGGGAAGATTATCCTGGATTATGATAAGGATAAGGATAAAAGCAGGATTGCCGTGTTGCTCTTTGAAGATGGAGGGAGGGGCTTCAAGCCAAGGAATACCCAGTGGCCGCTGGAAGCACCAAAGGCAAGGAAAGAGATTCCTCCTTCATAACCTCTAGAAGGCACAAGTCCTGCCTCTAGCCAGTGAAACCAGTTAAGGGCTTTCAGCCTCCAGAACAGTAAGATAATAAATTTGTATTGTTTCGGAAATTTCTGGTAATTTGTTACAGCAGTAATAGGAAACCAATATGATATGGATATAGCACATTTTGTTTATCCATTAATTAATAGACATTTGGGGTTTTCTTTTTTGCACTTTCTAGCCATTGTGAATAATGCTGCTATGAACATTCATGAACAAGTTTGTGTGTGGACATACTTTCAATTCTCTTGGGTCTATACCTGTGGTGGGGGGAATTGCTGGGTCATAGGGTAACTGTTTAACTTGATGAGCTTTGTTTTGCAGACTCTTGCACATCCTGAATGGCCAGCAAAGTTTCAAACCGGGCAAGCTGATAGCCGGGCAGACGGGGGAGATTAGCATACGGGAGCGGGAGCACTGCGGAGGGCAGGCAGTCTGGAAGTTCCAAAGAGCTGCCATTTCATGCATATGCAGCACTTTCCCAGAGCCAAAGGCAATGGGACTGCAATCACTTTTTTCTGTGTATCTATTCGAAGGTAGAAGCAGGTATGCGGTTTCCTAAAGCTGCAGCCGAAACAGTGTAGATATGCCTAATTTGGTAAAAATAAACAGTAAGGATTTCAAAGGACATTCACAACAGGCGTGATAAGGACAGTGTCTGTCAAGTGTCTTCAGACCCAGCAGTGGCACCTGAATACCTCCTGTGAGCCTCAGGCCAGGCCCTGGGATGGGCTCCCTCATATCAGTTTTTGGATTTAGTTCCCACAGAACCCCACGAGGAAGTATGGCGTTCCTCCATGTGTGACATTTGAGGATGACACAGAAGCTGAGCCAAGGGAAGCGTCTGCCCAGGTCACAAAACTGTTGTTTGAGGGAGTCCGAATTCAAACCAGATCTGTCTGCCTTAAATTACTTTTCTCTCCGTAGGAAAGGAGGACGTTTCCTTCAAGGTACTTGTTTGGGTTTGTAAGTACACACTCTGAGACGGCTTCGGCAGTCACCTGATCTAAAACTTCTCTGGTTCACGTTAGAATGGGAAGTCCTTCTGAGGGAAATGACGTAGAGACAAAAGTCTTGGAGCTCCCCACAGGAACTGGGGAAGACAGAGGAATTAAAGCAGTCTGGGAGTGGTTTTTGTTTTGCTTTTTTTGTTTTGTGTTTTCGTTTCTTGAGCACCCATCCCAAGCCAGGCTTCCCCTACAGTTGTCTCAGCATCCTTTGGAGGTACTTATTATCCGTGCTTCACAGATGAGAGGAAGGGAATATGGAGAGGTTACGTCCCCCCAGTGACCCAGCTGGAAAATAGTAGAGGCAGGATCTGAATCCAGGTTTGCTGATTGGAAAGCCCTTGCTATTTTCCCCACATAATCTTAACCACTTCTTGGTTTGGAATCTGAGACTCAGAAGGGATTAGGATTCTTCTTTCTGGGAAGCATGGCGAGGGACGTGAGGGAACAGAGAGGTCCAAGCCAATGCCTCGGAAGCCTACATTGACCTCTGAGTTGGTGTGAGTTTGGGAAGGAAGATGTAGACACACCAAGCTGGGAGGGACCAGAGAGACTCATCTGGTACAATATTGAAGCGTAGGCCCAGGAAAGGAGTACAACCTGGCAGGCCAGGATGCAGAAAGAGCGGGAGATTGGGGACCAAATCCTGCTCCACCTACTGGGTACATCTGGGTAAGAGATTTAATCGGGAGATGAGGAGGGCCCTGTGGCAATTAGAAAGAAGACACGTGACCGGGCAGCAGGTAGTCAGCATGCCTGGCCTTCCCAGGCAGCTGGGCTCTAACAGCTGAAGCAGACCAACACGTCCTCGCCGGGCCTTCTTGGAGGCTCAGATGATGCCCATGAGCCCACTGGAGGCTGGAGCCTTCTCCTTCCTCCATCACTGACGAGAGACTGGGTTCCCAGTCAGGCTCGCCAGACCCGGATGTCACAGACAGCAGGGTCTCCGGTGGTCAGTTCTTTTGGGCAAAGAGCTTTGCAGAGTCTGGAAATCCAGCTCAGCGTTTCCTCAGCCTGTAGCCCCATGAGACCTCAGGAACAAAGACACTGCAATCCCGCTGGCGGCTGCTTCCTTGTTGCTAAGCGACCACATATTTGATACTAAGTTCCTGTTGATGAAGCTAATTGCAAAGGTTAATTGTCCTCCCAGATGAAAAACGCTCCAGGAATGTATGCAGGAGTTGGTCTCTATGAACTTCTGAGAGAATGTGATTTTTGGGAAAAGCCTGTTTTTCAGACGGTGATGGCATCAGCACTTTGTTCTTCATGCTTTGTTCATTTCTCTGGGCCGAAGTTTTCAAACTTGGCAAAAGGGACTCTTACATGGAACCGCAACATATGTAAGAGGTCAAGGAGAGCTAAGGAGGTGGGTGGAGTCCCCAGAGCCCCGCCCACCATGAATCCACGCCCACTCGGAGCCCCGCCCACTCCCCCGCCTCCCTCCAACCCAGTGGCGTCCCTGTGGTGCTGGTTTCTGGCTTCTCCCTCTCCTTTCCTTTACTAAGCAGTGATACCCTTGAGAGGTAAAGCTGTGCTGTCTACCTCTGTGTTTGGAGTATCCAGCCTAGAGCCTGGTGCAGGGCAAGTGAACAGTGAATGCATCACTCATAAATGACACCCTCATGTGTCATGAACCAGGCTGGATCGCTAATGTGGATGCAGCTAAAATACTTGATTCAAAGATCATGGAATGCAGTTTCAGCACTGTTCCAGTTGCTGGGTTACAGTCCCTGGGGAAGCAGGTCATGGGCATGAGAACAGAGGAAATAGTGGGTTTTCATTTCACCTCCTGTACTTACTGGTTATGTGACCTTGGGCAGATGGCTTCATCCTCCTGGAGGCTCAGTTTCCTCATCTTTAAATGGGGATGATAGGGGCGCCTGGGTGGCGCAGTCGGTTAAGCGTCCGACTTCAGCCAGGTCACGATCTCGCGGTCCGTGAGTTCGAGCCCCGCGTCGGGCTCTGGGCTGATGGCTCGGAGCCTGGAGCCTGTTTCCGATTCTGTGTCTCCCTCTCTCTGCCCCTCCCCCGTTCATGCTCTCTCTCTGTCCCAAAAATAAATAAAAAACGTTGAAAAAAAAATTAAAAAAAAAAAATAAATGGGGATGATAAAACCCACTTTGTCTCTCAGTGCTGTTCTAAGAACTGGTGTTGACTGTATAAAATATATGGCCCTGTGCCTGGCAGAGCCGGAGTTCAATAAATGGTAGCTATTTTTTTCGTGTGTTGTTGCTTTCCAACAAGAGGCTGGAGTGGTCACTGTGGGACAGCCTGCCTCAGGCAGTAGGGCGAATTCCGATTCAATTCATGCATGCTCTGAGAAAAGACACGGCACCAAAGCCAGGGGCAGGAGTAGTAAGCAAAAAGGAGTGGAGGTATGGCTCTCCAAAGCATCTCCAGTGGCACCTTTTGCATTTCACAGTGAGGATTTAAGAGGGCTTTCCTTCCAAGAAGATGCTGAGCCTCTCATTAGAGGGGCTGTGAGTGGTGCTGGGTTGATCACGTGGGGGCCTGCTGTCGGCCCTGGCTCAGGGTCACCTGTGAGGACCAATGCAGGTGACAGCATCACACAGGGGCTTCCCAGGATCTAGGTGGAGCTCAGATCCTGACACTTCAGCTTCTGTCCGCCACACATTCAGCCCTCAGCACGTATTTAGGGAAGATGAGGGGGTCAGAGATGGAAGACGTGAGTCCTACTTCAAGGAGCTCATAGTCTAATTCAGGGGTTAGCAAACATTTTCTATAAAGGGCCAGCTAGTAAATATTTTCAGCTTTGTGGACCATATGGTCTTGTGCAGTTACTCAGCTCTGCCATTGTAGCATGAAAGCAACCATAGGCAATATGGAAATAAATGGGCACGACTGTGTTCCAATAAAACTTTACTTAAAAAACCAAGGTTACCCAAGGACTGTAGTTTGCTAATGCCTTAGAGAAAGACAAAGTGGTAAACAGATCTTTACAGGTGTCATCATGCAGATGTTACACAGGATATAGCAGGTATCCAGACAAGGAAAAGATATTTGCTCAAAAAACTTCCTGAATGGGGCGCCTGTGTGGCTCAGTAGGTTCAGTGTCCAACTTCAGCTCAGGTCATGATCTCACAGTTTGTGAGTTGGATCCCCACATTGGGCTTTCTGCTGTCAATGTCTGCTTCAGATCCTCTGTCTCCCTCTCTCTGCCCACCCCCCCCCCCCGCCATAAATACAACATTAAAAACAACAAAAAGAAACCTCTTGATGGGGTGCCCCGGTGGCTCAGTCAGTTGAGTGTCCAACTCTTGATATCAGCTCAGGTCATGATCTCATGGTTTGTGATTTTGAGTCCTGCATCGGGCTCTGGGCAGACAGTTTGGAGCCTGCTTGGGATTCTCTCTCTTACCCTCTCTCTGCCCCTCCCCCACTTTCTTTCTCTCTTAAAGTAAATAAATGAACTTAAAAAAAAAAGTAAAAAAAAAAAAAAAGAAACCTCCTGAAGATATCAGCTGGGTGGCTTTGGAGAAGTCCCTCTCTATATCTTAGTTTCTTCAGTGGGATATTAATATTATAGAGATCATAGCATAAATGTGTTATACACCTAACATACTGTCTAGGTCATTGTTATATCCATAAGCTAACTCAATAAATGTCAGCAATAATAATAGCTAATGTTTTTGAGGGCCTTTCATATGCTAGCCACTCTTTCATGCACTCTCTCTATATTATCTTATTTAAATCTCATAACTATACTGTGAGAGATCTATAATCCCTCCAAGAAGATGCTGAGCCTCTCGTTAGAGGCTCTGTATGAGAGATGTATAATCATTCTTCCCATTTGACATATGATAAGACAAAGGCACAAGGAGATCAAATAAATCTGGTAAAGGCACAGCCAGGACTTAAAGGCAAATTCCTGAGCCAGAACTCTAGCTACTGCACTCACAATAACCACTGACAGTATATATTAGGACCCAGTCAAGCCAAGACGGACAATTGCTGGTCAGCAGGCATGTTTCTGTGGGCAGTGGGTCATGGGCTTCATTGCTTGCCCTCTGGCAGCAAAGCCTGAACCTAAGTCTCTGAGTGATGCCCACACCCTATTACCGTGACACCCAATGGGTCATTTCAACCACGTTTGCCTCAAGGACTCAAGGGCACAGATGTGTGGTGGTGTCTTCCAACCCTCTGTACCTGGCAGTACAGTGAGCTTATCATGTCAAGCTTCACTCCTTCCCTATACTTTCTCCCCTTATGTCTAATCACCAGCTACCCTCAAAAACAAGCAAACAAAATATATGGAGTCCTGTAAGGATGGGCAATGATATCCTCACTCACCATTTTGGACTCATTTCTTTAGAGTTAAAGTTTCATGCTGTGCCCACAGTGGGAGCAAATTAGCCAACTCTATCAAGAAATAGAGGCATAAACACTGTGGACTAAGGATGCCTTTGTCCACTTCTTGACTGATGGTCTCCCAGGGATCGGACCATCTCACTTGCAATCTATGCTTTTAGCAGCTAATTGCATTTCTTAACCATGCTGCTTCAGACAAAGTTACACAAGTACAATTCCTGGAAGTCTGACACAGCTTGTCAGAGTAGCAGGGCAGAGCTCATCTTACTGGAAATCCCCCTTGGTCTCTTTGGGGGGGGTG